TGACGTATGCCATCAATACTGTTGATGAATTAGATTTAGCACTTTTAAGGTGAACAGTCTGTTTACGACCTGTTAAATGATATCTAAACCTTTTTACGCATTCACGAGAACATCCAATATCAGTTAAAGGTAATACAAAGTTTTGGGAAAATTTGAAAATTGGGTGGATAGTGATTCTTTACAATTTCTATATATTTGGATGCCCCTGTGGATGTATTATAAGCACTAGAAAATTTAGCCCCTAAAACACTTCTGATTTCGAGAAAAATTGAATATAAAAATTTACCGGTGCTCCCGGTAAATTTGGATACATTTCAAATAGCGCCTACGGCCGTACAATGGTAGCTGCGACCATAACAATCTCAGAATGTGTTGTTGAGGTATATAATTTCCAAACGGGAATAGCTAATTGGTAGATTTTAGTCAAGAAACAATGTTTTATAGCTTAATTAATATATTGACCTTGAGAGGGAGCTATACAACACAAAGAGTTTATTATTTACGATCTCATAATTTTAGACTCGATTTCAACTGCGACAACGATCACTGAATATTGTAGGATCGCATATGCTTCCAATATGTTCATTTGAACCGAATTCATGACCCCATACCAAAACTTTGTATTACCTTTAATTTTGCTAATAAAAGATTGTGGTCATCGGTGTCAAATGTCTTACGAAGCTCGATAAAAGCGACACCAGAGATCTTTCTGTTTTTCGATATTCCATGATGAATTATTAACCGAAATATCATTACCAATCCGAGATTCAGTTCTAGTACTTTTCAGGTATTTTGTTACACTGGAAGCACAGGTAGTAAAAAGAAGTTATTAAATGCATTAGCTTGGTGGATCTGATATACGAACACCATCGATTTCCAAACTATGCGGAGAGATCTTGTTGGACTTAGGAATTACATTTCAGACACTTCCATATGTTCCGAGAATTTCCATGATTTTCATTAAAATAGTTACAGTGGTACTCTTTCTTCCCTTTTCTAATAAGATGTGTTACTTTATTTTTAAGAGTTCTGGAACTATTCCGCAACTAATCTTTTTTAGTATAGCAGCTCTGTGAACATAGTCACGTCGTTTTAGTAAGTGAACAATATCGTTATCCGTGGACAAGCATGTTTACGAATTCGTTTGTTGAATGACGGAATACGTGTAAGTATTGTCCCAAAACCCAGATAATTATAAATTATCCTCATATGTATACCCTGACAAGATGCCCAGTTTGGAACGCACTTAAAAGCCAAGTTTATATCTTTATAATCCTTCCCATAGAAAGACCAAATGAATTCATAATCCACCAGGAAAGACCACCTCTATTATGTTTAAGCCCCCATACATAAAACTACCATTGTTTTGGCGGCCCTCATTCATGTCTTTGTCCCTGTAATTGACACAATGTAACCCTACCCTCATATTGAATACTTGTATCCTTCTGTATAAATATTTCATGTTCTGGCTTTCAGGAGAAGAGTTGAGTTTTCATCACCATTAGATCAAGACCCTCGATCTTTCTAGCCGGCTCTCTCTTCATCTTGTGTTTTACATATGTGGAAGTCCATAATTATGTGACTGATTTGATTCTCCAAAATTTGGAGATAATGGATATTCTCATATGACTCCGGAATTACAAGTTTCTCCTTGCTGCTTCATTTTATTTATCTCTCGTACTGCCAATATCTCATTCACCGATCCCAACACAACACAAGATCAACTTTTCTAATATCTCTAAAAGGAAGCCAAGGCATAGTGTTTAAATCATTACGAAAACTCTGGTGATCTACATTCTTGAATGAACGAAATTCAACGGAGGTGACCTTTATTTCTTTTACTGAAATTGAAGGATTTTACTGCATACACGAACAAATTATCGCTATACTTGTTTGACAAACCCCTGCTTCACAATATAGTTCAGGATCGGAAACAAATAGGAGATCAGTTATTGTAATCGTGCTGTTAGTACCTCGAGTTAGTCTATTTATCAGTTGACTAATAACAATAGCTTTGTGCAGTAGTCTAGCAAATTAACATTAGCATTAAAGCAAGCTTGATTTGGCATATAATTGCAGTTAAAGTCACCTATAGAGATGCAACTTTTGTTTACAGAGCTGGCAAACTCTAGATTGGAATCGAGTTTTTTCAAAGAATTCAATTGTCGCTATGGAGGCCTATAAAAAGCTCCGATCAGAATAGGTGCTTTATGTGGATAGTAGAGTTCAGCCCACAGACATTCCAAATCTTCATGATTAAATCATCTCTCCTCTTAAAGTCAAATCGTTTGGAAATAAAAAACTGCAACTCCTCCACCATTCTATCTTTTCGAAGTAATTTGAAATCATCCATACATACTTCGGAATCCTCTACGACATCAAAAGGTGAATACAATGTGAACCCCGTATGTATTCTACTTTTCTTGAATGAAAAATGTTATAAACAACTTGCTACAGATATCTGGATGAATAAGTGCGAACTTACCGTAGTGAATATTGGTCTGAATTGTACCTCTTCAAAACTTTTTGGAAATAAGCCTGGTTTCGATTGACGAGGTGTTAGATTCAACAAACTGTTTCTTAAACCACCAACTTTATGCAACAAGAGACCGCGCAATGCCAGGGCAAAGCTGTTCTGAGACGTTCTGAAATGGCAGCTAGCAAAACCATACACTCATACGTAAAATTTCCCTTTGGATTGAGATACTAATTATATTACGGCGTCCTATATCTGTTTCTGTTTCTGTTTCGGTTGCATCGGTATAATCAGGGTTAACTGTACTTCACCAACGTTTTGATTAGTGTGGTCATGATGTGCTATGGCAGGAGAGGTGTTTCACATTTGAAGTTTCTGCTTGAAGACTGCACTGGAGGTAGACATAACTGTTTCCTCCTTGAGTAGGTTCCATTCTGCTGCAGTCCTGTGGAAGAATATGGACTTTTCGATTTGCGTGGACGTGGACGTGTGACTTCCTCTTAAGGCATTGGCAGTCACGTGTGACGTCCTTTTAAGGCACTGGCAGTGCCTTAAAAGGATGTCACACGTTGCAGTCCACGTTCGCGTCGTGCAAATCGAAAAGTCCCTAATGAGTACTTGTGCACGCCTTTCTTAATCAGTACCCTCTGGATTATTTTGCTGTTCCCTCTAGTTGTTCTTCCCCCTCTGTTGTTGGTTTGAATGTATGTGTCAGCCTTGATTCCCACTTCTCCGTTCATGATAATTATTGTACAAGAGTTGAAGTCTAGTCACTGCGTTATAATGCAGGCAGACACATACCAATATCGGAATTGTGTGTTTTTTTTTTGTTTTTTTAGTCTCTTTTCTTAATAGATTAATCAACCCATGATCAGGCTTTCAGGCATGACTCTTATCCTAGCGAATGGCATTGCATGAATAATTAATGTTATTTGTGTTATTGTTTTGCAACTATTTGGCGTAACAATTACATAACCGTGATAGGGAGTAAGGGGGCGCATGGGGTATGGGAGAGAGGGGAAGGAAAAATAAGATAACATTTGGAAGTTTTTCGGGTGTTTATACACGAGATGGGGAGCGAAACGGAAAAATAAATGCATGAAAAGAAATGTAGAAAGGGTGCATACAGGGTTTTCAGCCCTTCATGTGTGTGTGCATGTGTGTGATTAATTACATTTAAACGTCTTTGGGTAGGGTATGTGCGCGCGCGCAATTTGAAGTATGAATATTTAATCATGGGTTTCATGATACGTCTTGATAGAATATCCTCCCAGTACATTTAGGTACCATTTTCATTTGAATCTCTGCATGCATGACTGAACATCAGACAATCTTTACAAGACTGTCAGATCTCACTTGCGCCAAGTTACGAAATACAAAATATTGAATGTGATACTCTAAAAATAAATGTATTTAACAAAAATAAAAAACAAGCGCTCTCGAAAATGTTCAAGTTTTTAATTAGAACCATCATGAGAGAAGTGTATTTAACATCTATTGTTTGATCCATTATGAAATAAACGTGAAAACAAAATACTAGAAATTGGTTTGTATTTTTATGAAGAAATGATATATTGAAGACTGTTAAGTATAATTTTTTCCCCGATCTCTTTGCTCGATCGCAACATTTACAAACAGTATGATTTCAGGTAGTGATCTAATATCCGTACATTCGGGCAGTAAGCGCTCGATTATATCTTATATTTTAAATCTCAAAATTGCACCCTTTTTTTCCTCGCTTCGTCGCTTCATTCGCTCAGAACAGAAACAGGATGATTCTGGACAACGAGATGCCCGAATACTCTTAAATCCGTGCATCCAGATTACTGAATATATGACTTTGGTATTCATATATTGACAAGCTATGTGCCTGCATACATAATATATCATCTCATCTAGTGTGTTTTGTTTACAAAAATAACATTGTTAACGTACTAAAATGTCATTGTTGTTTTGTCCGTACGTTGGCACATTACGTGTACCACAGTGACGACGAATGAATCTTGTGTAGGAATTTGGGAGGGTGACGCGAAACTTGTCAAAAGGGTGCCGTGACCACAAAAAGGTTGAAAAACGCTATATTCCAGTTAATTTAGTTGAATAGGGCAATAGGGTATTTACTATATACGAAATACGTGGATCGATTATTTAAGTGGGATGCCTCTTTCATTGGACTCAATGTTTAAAGGGGAAGTGTCCCAATATCGGAGAGTCGCAGAAATGTTTGAACGCTACCTTCCCTATAAGAGATGAGAGAATATAGGTTAAAGGAATCGTTTAACAATGTTAAATCTGAGATACACGGCACTACGTGTTATCAGAGTCTGTGATATGATGTAATATTGAAGCCCTAAACAAATTGCGCTTCAAAATGATCAAGAAGTGCCTCAAAAAAGTAAAAAATCTTTGAGTGACCAGTTTTACCATACTCGTTTTTCCCAATAGACTGTAGTGTTATGAAAACCGTTTGGCAAACGGTTTTCAAAATTTGTAATTTCAATCATAAGTATCTTGATAATCAGACAGGTGATGGGCTTGTAAAAGTCATGGGCTTCCTGACTGACCTAAAGCTTTATAGTTATCATTGCAGAATGAGCTAAATCCAGAATTTTGTTTCAGAATGTGAGACAAAGTTACCGGATCCCTTTAATAGTTTGCTCGCACTTGTGATAAAAAGTGCTCTAAAATGCAAATTCCTAACTACAATACGTGTAATTTTCTAGCGTCGTCGCTAAGCGACCTTGCCATGTAAGAAACATAATTTACCGAGGATGTTGTTATAATGCAATAATATTACACCACAAATTACCAAGTCTTGTTATTAGGGGAGGGGAAGGTAAGCTTCCCCCTCCCTCTAATTCTACGAATTGACATTTTGTATTGCGTTGGTGGGGCTTAAAATTCTGGCTTAGCCCATCTCAATTTTTTGTCGCTCATTACGCCATTGGCTTTATTGATCTTTACTTACAAGAGTAGCATTTTGTATAGCCCTTCCACTTGCACTCTTTCCATTTTGTTGTACATTCTGTTGTTGATATTTGTACATGTATATAGCCTCGTCAATATGCCTTTGTAACGAACATTTGAGGACCATGTATTTTTATGTTTTTCTTTTGAGTTGAATAAACTGAAATGAACACAGCTGAACCGTTAATATAAATGATGATTGTTAAAACTTGTGGGCAGTATAGTATTTACTCAACTCTACGGATGTTTATAATTATTTAATTGAATATATGAAACAAATAAATTAAACCAAATCAGATTAAAATAACGTACCAAATAAATTAAATGACAACAAATAATAATCAAATTTATGTAGGACTTAATACTAGTCATATGATGGTATAGAACGATCCTCTTTCTATAAAGTAAATAGTACTGTTGGAGTCATAGTTGGAATCATAATTAGGTCTTGGTATAAACAGCAGGGCATAGTTTCACGAAACCGTCCTAAGAACAAGTCTGCCAACATCCCATTGAAATGTGAGGTAATTATTCACCCGTTTCAATGGGTTGTTGGGGAACGTGCACTTGCGACCATCTTGTGATACGATGCTAAGTAACCCAAATAAACATTCGGAATTATGATAATAATATCAGTAATGTGAGTGGTAATAAAACTGCTCATAACTATTATATATACCTGCAAAAACAAAACACGGCGGGATAATACAAAGTGTTGCCATTAATAATCTAAACATTTCGGATAATATGCAAAAACATGACGTTATTGATAATTTCTACATGTAAATACTTTATATGGTACAAAACAGTAACTGTATCTTGATAACTCTCGGAGAAAATATAAAATTTGATTCTCATCGATTGCATATATTTTCAAAAGATTTTCCTAATGGTAAAAAAGAAAAATAAAGAATCTACTGAAGAAATTTTACATTACCATTAATGAAGTAGATTTACCGTAATAATAGACCCACACGTCCATAAACAGTGTATAATTTGCTAAGCTCATCAAATGAAGTATATATACATATATCATTAAAAACTTAATTGTATTCATACTTCTTGTAAATTTCGTTATATTTGTGTTTTCGTAACTCAAGAATACAAGGGAGATTGGATGAATTTCTGGGTTTCTGGCTTGCAAATCGTCGTGGAAATAGCTCAACATGTGCCTTCTCCTGTAGATGTCTGATCAGTGCGTTCTCCACACAGCCCTTCCTTAAAGACGTTGATGAGGTCCATTGGAAGGAAAACAAGAGCCAACTCACACCCAGAGCGCTGAATTTGATCACGTACCTATAATTAAATAAAAACATTTATGACTGTGATATTCATGGTATTGGTGATGATGATAATAATAAAGATACTAATATTAATGATGATGATGATTACGAAGGAGAGAAAAGGAAAAAAAAGTAAGGGGAAAAAATAGGAAGAATAATAAGAAGAAAATGAAAAAGGAAAAGAAGTAGAGAAAGAAGAAGATAAGATTAATATGAAGAAGAGTAAGAAGCTAAAGAAGGAGACTTGCATAGACAGAGAGCGAACAGTATTACTGGACCAAACCAACTCCCATCTCCCTTGACCTAGAGTTCTTTTCAGATTTCCACAAATTGGTCACTTTCATTCATGGAAAATCATGGTTTGCTGTACATCAAAATAGTGGACTAAATAGGCCTTATATGAATGTAAGTGAACAGCATGAGACTTAACTACATTAATCCAATTTTTTGCCACAAAATATACCATATATAACATTTAATCTTTAATGGGCTGTGAATAGTGAAAGATACTATTATACTATTGAATATACTAATAAAATAGTTAAGAACATCAATAACGTACGTCTGCTGGTGAGCTGTCGAAAGAAACTGGTGACTGGTTTATCTCAACTAAGCCCCAATTTACCAGCATTCCACCGTTCACGACACCATGCGTGTGTGGTCGAGAAGGGCTACCACTCTTCGCAACGAGTCCTTCGCTATGCATAGCTGTAACCTGAAGGAGAGTTTGATAAAAATGCATCTTTTTTGTTAAAATATCGAGAGCAATTAGCCAGCTTTATTTAATCCCAACCCCTCAGAAATTATACTTTTCAAAAATGCATATGTTATCCCGCTCGCTTAATGGAAACTTGCGTAAAAGAATTATCGGGTAACTTTTTTCCAACAGTACATCGTATATTGTTTGATGATCAAAGCCCGCAGTATAAATATTTTATTTTACTATTGAATTGATTATGGGTAAAAAGTTCATATTAGGATGCGAGTTACGTTCTTACGGCATTAAAATGATTCGAATGAAGAGACAAGTACCTCATTGCCTTGACTTTGGTTCCCGAATCCGAGACCCAGAGAATCGACGTCCCCATTGGTTGACAAGATCACGTGACACAGGATGCCATGCATCACCCTTTTGATATGGAGCTGTACCTGTATTACGAAATTGAATTTTAAGAAGGTAATATTATTTTCTGGTAATTGTATTACATGTTTTTGAAATATGCCGCGCAAATAATCTCCCTGTGCCACCCTGTATTTATCATGTACCAAAGGCTTCACGATTAATTAACTGTTTCCAGTGCAAGATTAATCTATATCAGTGTTAAATGGTTTGTGATAGAGCTAATCAAGAAAGGAGATGGGTGATTTTGCAAAGCTAAGGTGTTAGTTGCACAAAGCAATCCTTTCGTAAATTGGTACCTTATTATGCAAAATTGCACCTTTGGCAACGGAGCGACTGTACAGAGAGGCGAAGAAAGCAACCAAAGTGTTAATGAATTTCTAAAGTCAACATTACAGGCAGTTTCTATAGCGTTGTTAGCAGTGACGGATCCAGGGGCCCGGCCCCCTGGGAATAAACACATGTAAAAACACGTTAATTTTACCCTGGGGCTCAAGGGGGAGGGGTAGATTTTGTCAAATTTTCGAGGGCCAAAAAAAAATAAAATTATGCTCACTACCCCCCCCCCCCGGCCGGCTGTTTTGCCGCTTATTATTTTATTACGAATTGGGCCCCCTCTCCTGCCGCCGGCTGGATCCGCCCCTGGTTGTCAGTCACCTATTACAATGTGCGAAACTGCGAATATGGCAATGACATTTTACGGAATCCGTACATAATTATTCTGGGATACACAAAAAAGGCTATTGGCATTGCGCGTCCCGGGTATGATTTTTCAAAAGTCTTCACGATCGGGTGAAAAATTGAAGGGTTATATTGATTTCATGTTGACATAATCATTTAGTTAATTAAATTACACTTTTTTATGGGAATATGGTGACACCTGGCGCTCTTTAGTATCAAATTACAAACTATCAAAGGCATTTTTTTCCTTCCTAAAATCAAGATCGGCACGAAAACATGGTTTTGACACAATGTTGAATGAAATTGATGATATGAAAGAGCTGTTAGTTTATTGTATTATAGAGACACAGAACGTCATCGATGAGAAGGTCGGGATATTTAGGAATATAGTCGGACCTTACCTTATTTTCGTCTGTTGTTCTAAAGAGTGTGTAGCAGAAGTCTATAGAGGGAAGCGTTTGTCGATTTACTTTCACTATGACGTCATCGACGTGCAACAAGGAGTGCAATTTGGCATTCGGGAGTGCAGCGATGCTTTTTAGGTTAAAGAAGAAAAAGATAGCATTAAAATGAAAGTCATGAATTTGGAATGTTCGACACATTTTTTTTTATTTTGATTTTATTTCTGCATTTTTTCCATATATAATATTACTGAATAACAAAGAACGTATAAATGTAAGGTATAATACAACATAAACAAACAATAATTTCTTCATGTCAAAATGTTTTTTTACATAATATATGTACATATGATAACGAAACTTAATATTTCCATAACATATAATCATAAATTTAAAGTATTATCCGAACTTTTCTATTGTAAAAGTGCAGGAGACCGCAATCATAAGCAAAGCTTGACAAGGATGGCGGCCTGATAAAAAACAAAACAAAAACAAAAAACAAAAACAAAAAAACAAAAAACAAAATATTAAAGTAAACCTTAAAATGAAAGTGTTCAAATGATCTTTGTGTATGAGTTTGTGAGTGTGTTGTGCAAGTGTATATATATATATTGTGTGTGTGCGTGTATGTGTGTGTGTGTGTGTGCGTGCGTGTGTGTGTGTGTGTGCATGTGCACGCAAGCGTGCTTGTTTGTATGTGTTTGTAACGAATAGTGGAAGTGCACGTAGCTCTGTGTGGTATAGTGGATTGGAAACAAATATAGCCTTTACAATAAAGGAAACTTAGAATACCAAAAAGATAACAAAATTTGCAAAACTGGGTTGCAATGTGACCAAAATTTGTCAATTGCCTACTGCATGTTGAAATCAGTTATGTAGATACTTCGATATAAGAGGTTTTTTTGAGAGATGCTTTAAAAGAATAAAGAGATGAACAATGCCTTATTAAATTTGGTAAGGAGTTCCAAACATCTGGTCCATGATGTCTTACTGATTTTTGTGCTAAAAGTATTTTAGGATTTTCTAAGTGATAATTTGTTGAACAACGGGTGGGGCATGTGTGAATGTTAAAGTTTAAACTGTAAATATTGTGGAATAGGGATGGTAGTTGATTATGAGAATATTTATACATAAAAATGCATGTCTGAAAAATGTGAATATCTTGTATTTTTAATGTTTTTAAACGCTGAAATAAAGGTTCCGTGTGTGATATATAATGTGAGTTAGTGATCATGCGAATCGCTCTCCTTTGAAGCAAAAATAAGGAATTAATTCTTGTTAAACTACAATTACCCCATACAATATTACAATATATCACATGTGATAAAATTAGAGAATTGTACAATATAATCATAGATCTTTCAGAAAGAATTTTTTTTAACTTATACAGTATTCCAATATTCCTTGATATTGATGTATGTATATTACGTATATGCTCATTAAAATTTAGATGAGAGTCAATAGTGATTCCTAAAAATGTAACAGATTGTTTTTCAATGAGAGGCAAGCCATCAATCTCAATATTACAATTTCTTATATCGTGTACGTTGGTCTGTTTAAAATGAATGAAATTTGTTTTACTAAGATTTAATGAAAATTTATTAGATTTAAACCACCTAGAAATTTTCATTAATTCACAGTTTAACCGCGTTATAAGCGTATCAAAGTTTTTATGGGAATAAGAAATACTCGTATCATCAGCAAAGATGATAAAATCTAAAAGTGAAGAGGTTTCAATAATATCATTTATATAAATAATAAAAAGCAATGGACCCAATATAGATCCTTGCGGTACTCCACATTTAATTGTTAATTTTGTTGATTCATGATTTTGGAAAGATACATATTGTTGTCTGTCTTGTAAATAATTAGTAAACCATGAAAGAGCTTGACCTCTCACGCCATAGTATTGTAATTTATGAATTAATATTTTATGATCAATCGTATCAAAAGCTTTTGATAAGTCCATAAATACTCCAACAATATGTTCACTGTTCGCAAAAGCCTCAATTATTTTATCATACATATGCAAAATTGCGTAATCGGTAGAATGACCAATTCTAAATCCGAACTGGTTAGGAATCAATGAATTATTTTTTTGTAAGAAAGTGTTAAGTCTTTAATAAATTATTTTTTCGAGAAGTTTAGAGATATTGGTAATAATGAAATTGGCCTATAATTACTTATTACTGAGGAATCGTCCTTTTTATAAATAGGAATCACTTTAGCGATTTTAAGCAAATGTGGGCATACACCCGTTGAAATTTATAAATTAAATATATATGTCAGGGGGGTTACGATATTAAAGATTATTTGTTTCAATAAGTGAACACTTATACTATCATGGCCACTAGATTTTGTAGAATTAAGGTGTTGAACTACATTAATAATTTCATAATCATTGGTTGGAGTAAGAAATAATGAATTTTCACATGGGAAATTCAAGGACTTATTGTAGTCCATGTCACCTGAATCAATATTAGCTGCTAAATTAGGTCCTACATCTATATAATACTCATTAAAAGCTTTTGAAATTTTAATTGGATCTGTTATTTGTTGTTCATTAATTAAGAAACATTTATTACTTTCTGTATTTTTCTTGCCTAAGAGTTCCTTTACAGTTTTCCATAATAAATTATTGTTACTTTTATTACTTTCTATGTTGTTAGAATAATATAACTTCTTGGACAATCGTATAAGAGATGTAAGATGATTTCTATACGTTTTAAACTTCTTAAGCTTGTCGTTACATTGACTTGTAAGGGCTTCCTTACACAACTTATTACGGGCGACTATGGAACGCAAAATACCCTTAGTAATCCATGGTTGTTTGGCCTTTTTACCTTTTTTTATTTTGACAAGGGGTATATTCTTATGATAATAATGTAATACAATTTCTAGAGTCACGGAAGCTTTTCTCCGGCCAATTTTCCAACACTTATCGAATAGTCCATTTCGTAATTACACGTTACAAATCACCCTTAAGTATCCTCAGATCGTTTTATTTTGGAGAAGTCCCACTTAATGCATTTTAGAATAATCCTTGCCAATATCATTGCGGAAGAGCTTGTTTTCTTCACCAAAATACTTGTGAATAGATGAATGAGGATTAATTTTCATGAGCATGTTTCCAGTATTTGTGTTACATTTATTTGGTACAAATAACCTTTATTTTTCCCATGAGCAGACGCATTGAATGATCGTTCTGGGTTATTCCTAACTTCAGCCCTCGGGTAGTCATTGTACATCACTATACCCTAAACCCCGTCATGGCAAACTCAACCCCTAATTACCATAGAAATTTGACAAAAATGTCACATCTGTTTAAAGCTGTTGTTTTTTCTTCTAAATTGCGTGCTTTGATAAATATATTTTCACTAGTATCAATATGTATCTTAGGAGCTAAAGTGACTTTCCATTACGTCTTTCATTCGATTTATTTTAATTCTGTTTATGAGACGATATTATACAAAAATCATCGATTCTGACAAAAATTGAGATTTAAAACATTCATTTTATCAAATGTCACTATTAACGTATCGAAATTGTATTAGTGAAAGCTGCTCACCAAATGCAGTCAGCAACACACACCAACGTCATGGATTTACGTGATAGATCAGTTTTGTCTACTTCGACAGTGAAACCATCTTTTCGAAACAGCTCTCTCCGAAATCTCCTGTTTTCCAGAAATAAACGATAAAAAGTACAGCTTGTAAAGAATTGTAACCTATTTTATCATTTGACTATAGCTATAGCCAACAAATTACACGCAGCTTGATTTGCCATCCAGTTAGGATCGCATTTTGGGGGCTTTCATTTTGTGAATTGCGATTAAAGGGATTTTTTTTAAAGCAATTAGGTTACGAGTTAGTCTCTAAAGGCCCGGTCACACAGCCTTTCGCGTCTGTATCGCGGGTAAAATTTCGCGATTTTTTTTTGCCCGCGGTTGCCCGTGGTGGAAAATGTGCAAAATTGGCCTACCCGCGGTTTACCCGTGGTATGCCCGCGGAACAGACGCCGGCGACTGTTCCGCGTCCTTATCGCGGGTGAAGCGCGGCGGTACCGCGGCCTACCACGCTTACACGCGGTACACACGCTAATGCACGTGATAACAACGCGGTACAGACGCGGAACAAACGTGCTATGACCGTGCTCCACCCGCGATTACCCGCTGAAATTTCGCGTCCAATTCCGCGTGTAACCACGTCTTAACCGCGGCCGTAGCACGTCCTAGCACGTTCGTTCCGCGTCTGTACCGCGTCTTTACCGCGTGTGTACCACGTGTACCGCCCGCGATTACCCGCGGTCTAAATTTTTGGGCAGCCCAAAACTTTTTCGCGCGGCCAACCGCGTGTGAATTTCTTACCGCGTGTAACGACGGGTAAAGTACGGCTGTATCGCGTCTTTATCGCAACCTCAAAGCGTCCAACAGCGTCTGCTTCACGGGCAGAAATTTTTGGCCGTGATTCGGCCGCGATACGCCCGTGGAGGGCTGTGTGACCGGGCCTTTACTTGAATCATTATGTGACTAGCAGTGGCGTGGCTCAGGAGGAATTGGTTGTGTGCCCCTATCAAATTGGTAAGGAGCTCGAGAAAGCGTGAGAGGGTGTGTGACTCCGTTACACAACTGAACCTGGCCTACTGTGTTTAAAGGAACTAAATGAACAACATCGAATGGCAATGACATTGTTGTCATATAGATTTTCAGATTGTAAGAAAACGGATAAAGAGGAAGAAGAATGAGCAGAGGAAGAAGAATGAGCAGAGGAATGGTGGCATTTCAACTGATTTAAACCAGGAAACTGAATTAATTATATCAAATTAAGTAATCAATTAAGATTAATGGAGGGAATACTCACTGAATGTATGCATGGAGAGACTCGCAATTCGGAGCTTCGCTGTTCATTTTCCCTCGCATTTCTTTCTTGTTGTCATCATTTGATTTATACCCTCCTATCGGCTGATTGTCCCTCTGGAACTGTGTTTCCAGGCAAACTGTCTTCTCCCGCTGAATAGAGTCCATTTGATCTATGGGAGCTACGGGTGGTTGGGGGCACGTGTCTTCTTGCTAGATGTTTTCTTCACCAGTCCTTCCCGAACCTCAATCGTTGGGTTCTGGTAATCTCGCTTTGGCAGTTCTGGTGCAGCAGTGTCGTCATAGATCACTCCACTCTCGAGACCAAGATTGTTCACGTGGGACACGGAGGACTGATCATCGTTATGCTGCAGGGGCATGTAGAAGTTATCATCAGGCATGTCAGAGGGAGAGGGTGGGGGGAAGTATTCTTCCTTATCATCTCTGTTAATCGGTTCATACGCGGGTTCATTAACGTAATGATTGTCTTCAGCCTGATGGGACCCGGAGTGTCTGTAATGGGATTTCTTGGAATACAGCTTACCCTGGACGGAATCCTGGACGCGCAAATTCGGCTGACTGGCACTCGTCCTCGCAGATACGGAAAGAGATTTCAAGGGTGAAACTTCGTGATCATCGAAACCTTCAAACTCGTTATACTTAGCGCCGTCGGCGTAAATTTCACGATTATTCAGTTCGCGCTGGGACGAGCTTCGCATTCTGTCAGCTGAGTTGAGTGAGTGGAAGGCCGACTGTTGTGACTGAAGTGCCATGGCGCTAGCCTGCAGAAACGGCAGATAAACTTAGTGAACTCTTTATTTTGAATGTCTGAAGAAGCTGTAGTAAAAGCAATTGTCAGCTTACCATAACAGATATTTTTTCTCAATTTGAAATAGAACCACTTTCCAACTGGGCAGGCGAGTTTGTTTGATTCAAAATAATTGTGCAGATGATTAGACAACATGAGATCGATTCCTCATTTCTCGTCCACTTGTTATTAATAATTGTTGGCATAGAAGCGGAAGAAACTGTGGCAATGAAGGCAATGAAGTAACAAAAAAAAATAACATTAGAATGAAGGAAAAAAGTGATAGGTTATAGTACGTTTTCCACTTGATGACTTCCGTATATTAAAATGATTATTGACATGATTGAAATTTAATCTACGAAATTGTTTATTATTATTTAAAAAGAAAACAAATTTGTTTGATTAATCACCATTTCTTGGGATCTTCGCCTCTGATGTTCCAAAGCATGAGCACTTGAAGGAATGGATGATAAGGAGGCTCGATTCTGGAATTGACCAGCAGGACTTGTGTTGACTCTCCTCCAGTCGACTCCTGGGCGTGGTGCGGTGTCTGCTGTGTTGTGGACACTCCTCGGTAGTCGTTGATCACGGTTGCGAAGGACGTCGAAGGAATCAGACGAATCTGTACTGGTCGTCGATTCCGTTGACGGAGAGTAAATTGGTTCTTGCATGGCACTGCGTATGGCTTCTACCCACTTGTTACGTTGACGTCTGAATAAAAATTTACATGAGGTGAACAAGCCGGATATGTTCTTAAAGTAAGTAGGATATCAAAATTCGAATTCCTCGTTACAATGAACGAAACTCTTCCTAATGCTATGGTCACATCACCCAAAAGTAGACTGCTCGGCGGCCGAGCGGCGAGTTTTTAACCAATTCTGCCCGGCGGCTGCCCGGTCACCGAGCGGCGGCCGCCCAGGCACCGCTCGTTTTTAGGGCATCGCTCGGTCGCCGCTGAAGTTTTAGCGCGGAGTTAAAATTTGGGCGGCGCCTGCTCACTTTTCACTCGCCGCCCAAAATACGCTCGGTGCCTGGGCGGTCGCCGCCCGGGCACTGACCTAATGGCTGGGCGATGCCTAATTCCAGCAGCGACCGAGCAGGCTACTGATCGGTCGGTCGCTGGTCTGATTTGTGACCATAGCTTAAGTAAGACACATTAATTACGAAAAGCAAAGTGTAAAATGTGAAATTTGACACTGAATCTCATCATATCCATGATAACTCTACCATAGACCTTCGTTAAAGTGGAAAGGGGTAACCAGCCTAGCAGATCGTTCGGGGGCTCAGTAGTAATTATCACAATACTTATAAGTTCACAATACTTTGAAAATAAATTTATTCAACAATAAGAAAGAAAAAGGGCTCTCGAATATTTTTGAACTTGTGAGTAAAAAGCATCTTGAGCCTAAATCAGGAGTATTCCACCCAGTCTGGTCTTTCTTTCCTGTTTACAATACCGACAACAGTACTCCTAGAGTCTTATCACCAAATACAATTCATGTTTCTCTATTACTTAACATAACTTTTCGGGAAAAGAACATCTGAAAACCTCACTTGTTTTCAGCCTTCAGAAAAATTTTTCTCGCCGCACTGGATACAAAGGAACGATTCGTTGTTATGCGGTGATACGACCACTTTCTCTGGAAGATTCATTTCAATGGAGCATCCTTTCACCAAGAGTTTCTTAGTCGCCTTAGCTCCTCCAAGTTGCCTAGGGTATCCTAGAAGGTACGTCTGGGCAGCATATGACACAAGTCGCCAGTACAAGGGGTTCAGTTGGTAATCGGTGGACTGCAAAGAGGAAGGAAATACTCATTAAGCTATCTACTTCAGTAAAAAAAAATATATATACTGTATAGTTGAGTTTGTAATGTGCACATTTGCATCTGGTGGGATGCCTAAAGTGATATCACTTAATACGTCTAGTATTATTATTGACAGACCCAGGTGAGCAATAGCCGGAGCATAGTGTCACAAAATCGTGAGAAGAGGGTCGTGCAATAGAGCAGCGTTTTTCAACCGGGGTGCCCCGAAACCCTGGGGTGCCGCAGGACATCTCTATAGTTGCCACGAGATAAAAACAAATTAGACATCTATTGTTTGATCCATAATGAAATAAAAGTCAATCTCGTGAGAACAAAATACTAGAAATTGCTATGTATTTTCATAAAGAAAAATACATTTTAAACAGAGTTAAGTGTCATTTTGTCCTCGCTCGAGAAAGATTACAGGAAGTTATCGGATATCCTTACATTCGTGCAGCAAGGTGTTCGATTATATCATATATCTTTTAATCTCCAAATTGCATTTTACCACGCTCCGTCGCTACACTCGCTCAGAACATTTAAAAACCTGATGATTATAGACAACGAGATGCCCGAATATTGTTATATTCGTGCATCGAGCAAAGTTTATAGACGTGTACCTGAGTGATGAAAATGAATTTTGTGGAATGATTTTAAATGGTGACATGAAACTTTTTACTTCTCAAAAGGGTGCCATGACCAGGGGCGTACGCAGGGGGGGGGAGGGGGTGGTGTGTTTTGGGGTTAAACCCCCCCCCCCCCTTTGGTATTTTTATGTGTGTAAACCCCCCTAAAAAAAACTATAAACCCCCCCCCCCCCATTTGTTTTTTTTAATTAAAAAAAAAAAAAAAAAAAAAAAAACCTAAAAAAAGGGCCCCCCCCCCCTCCCAACGAAGACGAAGAAAGATGTCAAATTTTCAAATTTCGAGACCAAAACAAAAAAAGGGACCTTACCCCCCCCCCCCCCCACGAAGAAAAATGTCAAATTTTCAAATTTCGAGACCCAAAAAAAAAAGTGTCCGCTTACCCCCCCCCCCCCCCCCCCCCCCCCCCCCCCCCCCCCCCCCCCCCCCCCCACTGAGCGACTTTTCGGCCGGCGCGATTTTCAAATTTTCGGGAGCAAAATATTTTGAGCCCGATTTTAAACCCCCCCCCCCCCCCCCCCCCTTGAAAAAATCCTGCGTACGCCCCTGGCCATGACTATAAAAGGTTTGAAAAACAGTACCAAAGTGCTAACGTCATATTCGCTCGACGTCTAGGTTACTGGTTCCAAACTTCAGAGCCTCTAGCAACGGGCTGGAGCAGGGCAAAGTCAATACTACATCGCCATTGTTTAGCAAATATATGGTGGAACCAGCAACCTTGACAACGTAATTGGCCAGTATGACGTCACACTTCGGTACTCTATACATCTCAGACTTACCTTTAACATTTTAATGCCTTTTTGTTTTTCAAGGATTAAAAGAACACCCGTCTTCACCTCACTACCTTCTGTCGCCAGTATTGACGTGGATATATCTCTCATCTGCGCCATAGCGTCAGATCTTGACGCAGAGTCTACAAGGGAAGCAACATGTAGTATGTATTTATGTTCGGCACGATTCGGGGGTTACGTCGAGTTATGCCCGCTTTACACGATGCGTTATTTCGATTGCGCCATTACCATGATTACCTGCGCTAATCAAGATTATGGAGACATTTGGCCCATATTCACTTGTCCAGTAGTTTGACGCAATGTTCACATTGAAAATTTTGCATTTACTATGAGTATACGATATCCCTATCAAAATGGAGCGTCAAAGACTGCACAAGTCATTGGCGCAGTCCTAGGTCAACAAATAACGCATCGTTAGCAATGGTGTCAATCTTTGCTTTTGTGATAACCTTCTAAATGATCAAATCATTGAACCGATACGAAAGAAATATTTCATTATCGATGTATAAAATATACAAATTTCTTTTTTTTTCTTCCCTAATCACTAAACCGACTCGTATCACGTCATCTTCAGCAACCTTAATCGATAATATATTTACAAACTGTGTTCAAGACCATTTCTATTCTGGAATATTCTGTTCTGATTTCTCTGATCACATGCCAATTTGTAGCATTAACAAAGGCAATGCAGTCACTACAGGAAAGGTACACAATAAATTATTTAGACGTGTGATTACTGATGAAAGAATGAATAATTTCCAACGCGATCTTCTTCAAGTTGATTGGTCTAGTTTATATAGCTTGTTTGATGCAAATGTTTCTTATGACTATTTTAGTGATATTTTTTCCAACTTATATAATTTACATTTCCCTTTAGTTGAATTGAGTGTGAAGAAGAAATGCAGGAAACCATGGATTACTCCAAGTCTTCTGAAATCTATTAATCAGAAACATAAGCTTTATCATACATATATTAAGAACCAAAATGAGATTAATCGGAAAAGTTATGTTGACTATAAAAACTTGTTGACAAACCTTGTTCGTCAAAGTAAGAAGGATTATTATGATAATGTTTTTCGAACTACTCAGAATGATATTAGAAAGACTTGGTCTCATATTAATGGTTAGCTTGGGAGGGGGAAGAAGACGCCACTTCCAAATGATATGTATCATAATGATTTACTGTCAAAATCAGACTTACAAAAAGCAAAATATTTTAATGAATATTTCATTGATTTGCCCTCTAAAATAAACAAGGAAATTCCTCCTGTCCAAACATCATACAAACAATTTTTGTCAGTGCAGAATCACTCCTCGTCCTCGTACTTTAGACCAACGTCTGTTCATGAAATTTCTAACTTTGTTTTAACTCTAAAACCATCCAAGGCATGCGGTTCTGACGACATTTCCCCAAAAGTCATTAAAACTTGTATTCAATGCATTGTTGAACCCTTGTGTGATATTTTTAATAAGTCCTTGTTTCAGGGTATTGTCCCAAACAAATTGAAAATAGCTAAAGTAATCCCTGTATTCAAGAAGAATGATCGTAAGAACATTGAGAATTATAGACCAATTGCTTTGTTACCCATATTTTCAAAAATTCTAGAGAAAATAGTGTATAAAAGGTTGGATGACTTCCTTCGACTTCATGATATTCTGATCCCACAACAATTTGGCTTTCGAAAGAATTGCTCTACAAGTATGGGTGTCTTGAATTTGGTAAACACTATTATAAATGCAATTGATGCTGGGAAGTTTTGTCTTGGTGTGTTTTTGGATTTATCGAAAGCATTCGACACTATTGATCATGATATATTATTAAGCAAGCTTGAGCATTATGGCATTCGTGGGATAGCTTTGAAATGGTTTAAAAATTACTTACATAATCGATTACAGTATGTAGTGGTTGATGGAGTTAAATCACAATCTAGGAAGGTAAAATATGGCGTACCCCAAGGCTCAGTCCTGGGCCCCTTATTGTTCTTGATTTATATTAATGATATTATAAACTCATCTCAGTTGTTTACTTATTCACTTTTTGCTGATGATACTTGCTTGCTCTCTCACCACAAAGACATGCATAATCTGATTTTGTCTGCAAATAATGAAGTTCACAATATATTTAAGTGGTTTTGTTGCAACAAACTTTTGTTAAATGCTAGTAAGACTCAATATGTTGTTTTTAGATCAAGGGGCAAAAGAATCCCAGATAATATTGACCCCCTGACAATAGGTGGTCATCTGATCAACCGGAGTCAAAATGTAAGGTTTCTTGGAGTTACAGTTGATGATCATTTAACTTGGAAAGATCACCTCAGCAATGTTTGTACCAAGGTCTCGAGGAGTGTTGGTGTGATTTTTAAGTTACGCTTTTTTTTACCAGAGCAAACTTTAGTAACTCTTTATAATGCTATCATTATGCCTCACTTAACTTATTGTAATGTTGCATGGGGAAATACGTATAGGAGCCATATAAACAAGTTAATAGTCCTTCAGAAGAAAGCTATCAGGCTCATTACAAACTCAAATTACAGAAGTCCAAGTAATCCTTTATTTGTGCAACTTCAGATGTTGCCTCTTGATGAATTAGTCTCCATGAATTGTTTGATATTCATGTACAAATCTCAATCTGCTCAAAATAATTCATTTTTAAAAGATGCGTTTATTGTTAATTCGACTGTCCATTCGTACAACACACGTCAGAGAAATCTTATCCATCAGCCGTTTGCGAGAACACAAACTGCTTCGAACTCTTTTGTAATTAATTGTAGCAAAGAATGGAATAAGTTGCCACAAAACATCAGATCCAGTCCAACACTACCTATGTTTAAACATACATGTCGAGAATATCTTTTTGAGAGATTACAAAATATGTTAAAGTAAATCCAGGAAAGCCATGTGTGTATGTGTGTATGTGGGTGTGTCTGTGTGTGTGTGCGTGGGTGTGTATGTGTATGTGTGTTATCTTTTTTTCTGTTCCCATATTTACTCATTAGTTATCATTGTAAATATGTTTTTGTCATCGGTTATTCTAAATACTGTTATTTTGTTTTTGTTTATGTACCTTTTAAGGGGCCCCTTATCACAAGCTCTGCTTCTCCGGGGTCCCAAACCTATCATGTTTTTTATTTCTTTGTGTCAATTGATTGTAAAATGTTGTGTTTGATTGGTTTGAATAAACTTGAACTTGAACTTGAAAAGCGGCAATGGGGCCATTAGGTTTTTTTTAATTATAGTTCCGATATGTCGTGATTTTGAACAGAGATTGGTTCTAAATAAAATATTCATGCCCAGCACATACTGCACGATCCTCCTGCAATATTGGCAATTACACTAGATATGGAAATCGACACAAACATCATATCCCCGAATAAGATACTGAATGATGATAAGGACACTAATAACTGGAATTGCAGTGCATTTTAGCCTTCTAGTCAGAAGTATAACCCAATCGGCTTCAAATCGTAGATACTCGTAAAAATGGTCTGGTGTCACTTCAATTCTGAGCCGATTTAGAATTTACTTCTCCAAAAAAGCTTGAAATCCCTTGAAATTTAGATCGTATTATAATAAGTATATTCTCCTTTACAGTAGAGAACTACTCTCCGAATAGGAGCTAGTCGTATGTGTTTCAGTCAGTAGAGCGTCCGCCTCACAACTGGGAGGTCGTGGGTTCGAACCCCGGCCGCGTCATACCAAAAGACGTTTAAACCTTAGGGCGTTCAACAATAAGGGATAGAGCAATGTCGATCTGGCGCTGCTCAGTGGCTGCCGGGCTCACGATCAATTGGGCAAAACAATTTTCCATTTAACTTAATAAAATTTGGAGTCGACTTTAAAAGATAATTATTATTATTATTATTATTATTATTATTATTATGAAGTTACTTCATTCTTGAGTTGCAAACCGAGTTTTAAAAAATGGCATCCACTCTTAAAAGGGTAAATACTTATTACTAAATATTCGTACTACTCCTTCTATAGTAGTAGAAATAATGATTATCACTTATGTGCAGTATTAAGATTGCAGATGCATAATACCGTGAGTTTTATTCAAATACAAGAAATTAGTTTACTAATAGTTTGCTTCAAATCTCTCTCAATTCTTTCCTTGATATTACTATAATATTGGATGGCTTTGAGTGTGATACAAGAATATATTGCTCGAGGTATGACAATATTGGACGAGTCAAAGACGAGTCTAATATTGTCTAAGCGAGAGCAATATATTCTTGTATCATATGAAAACAAAGCCATACATTATTATTATTAATATCTAATTCTGACTAGCGAAATAACAAAATTTGACTTACCTCGGTAAATATGGCTTTGTTTTCGTATGATATCGATATAATATCGATTTCAATAGTAGTACAGTAGTACGGTACTGTATTCAGAGGTAGTACTGTATTTTTTATTTTTTTATTTTAAAACAACATTTTGACAGACTATAATATTTCATGTTCAAGCATTTATTAATTTTTGTTTAATTCAACAGATAAAGCGTTTTTGAAAGAAGCAAAAAATGAACATGAAATGACTAAGTATTTTATCATTATTATTATTACTATTATTGTTTTAAACGAATCAGGAAATGTATGAAAGAGTTGTTTTGTTCAGCAATTGATGTTAGTTAAGAATTATACTTTTGAATTGTTTTTTTTTTATTATTCTGAATGTGATGTCAAGTCAGTAAGATGTAAATTGCATGATTTCGATTATATGTACTGCCTCTGGTATTGAGAAAATAAACACCTTATAAATATATTTGTTTGTAATAAAACAAGTAAAAATAGTTGAAGTTTCCGGATGACTGAGCAATACGTAAACAATATTGGTCAGTCATTCGGGTACTGCGCTAAAGTTATTGTATACGCTGATTTATTGTACCACTTGGAAGCCTAGTATATAGATAATAATTTCATATACCTCCCCATTATTAAATTCCCATTTTAATCGGTTTCTGATATGAAAGCAATTAAGCTTCTGTTTACAAGTAAAAACGGAAGGTTCGTATTTCCTGTCAGGAAGAGCCAAAGGCTCTCTTTCGGGTTTTTTTCCTTTTTTGTTCTCTCTTTTGTATGTGTAAGTTGATGTGTAGGTTGTGGAGGTGTGTACGTGTATGCGTGTGTGTGCCCTGTGTGTGAGGGTGTAAATGTAAGCTGAATGGGCTATCCAGCCATTCACTATATTATTGATTTTTTTTTTACTATGTACATGCATTTTCTTTGTATTGTTTTTAATATTGTGATGGAAAATGAATACCAATACCAATACCAATACCAATACCAATGTTTATGCGTGTGGTAATATTTATACAACCTATATGTGTCAGTTTGAACCGTAATTTGTATTAGAAGATTAGTTTTCTATAAAATTATCATTCCGTACTTATACATCCGGGTTGCTTTGTGACTCATGACCGTAATTACTCCACAGTTTAGCCCGATGCTCAGTCCAAAATCCTTGAAGTCCAGTTCGCAAAATAAATCTATCAATTGATTGATTGATTTCAAACTTGGATTTAAAACTTTAAAAACCTCATTATGTCAATGTTCGACATGTCAATGATTATGTCAACGTTTTTTTCAACTCACTTTTATAATTATGAAGCTATTGCATATATCAATACATCAATATATTACTTTTGTAAACTAAAGAACCCAAGATAGCCTACACAAGTTATGGCCTACCTACTGTGACTCGACCGATACTAGTCACAATTGTTACATACAATTCATAAAAAATCGTCTTGTTTTCTAAGGGCAGAGGAGTAAAAATCTACTCTTTTAAGTGTGATATTAGAGATCGCTTCATTTTGGATTCATTTTAATTCATTCCAAAGTAGTGGTTTAGATTACTCTTTTTAGATTGGATGCCATTAATTTTAGCGTGGATTTCTACTCCAGAACGAAGTGCTCTAAATAAATCCATGCTGTTCTACCTGAGGGCCCTGCCATTATTTTTTACCCCAGCAATTGCCAGGTCCTCTTGTCATTTAAGCCTCTGCTGGTAATTTGTGGAGTTTCACTTCTGTGTATTTAAAGATTAACAGTACCTTCTGGCATGCCTTTTTAAGTCAATATTTTTACTTTTTTGTTAAATATCTTTTTCTCAATTTTTCTGCTCCTTAAATGTTATATTTGATAAAATTTAAAGATGAGAAACAGTAATGATGTATGATCGATATTTTTGTTTTAGCTTCATTTTTTGTTAAACAACTGAATGAATATATTATAATTATATATCAATTACCAGTAATATTTAAAAATGTATGTATAAATGTTTATCAAATCAACCGATATCCTAAGCTCTCGCTGGAAAGCGCTGAACATACAACTTTACTTCTTTAATTAACTCTACAATCCTTTTCATGTACAGCCAGCCCATCATGTTAAACAAAAAATCACATTACAAACCTGTTTTATGATTTGTATGTATAGGCCTATATCATGTGGTAAAAATCATACAAATCTGCTATCTGCCTTTATAAGTAGTGAACGTGGTAAAATTGTAACTCTCTCATTATCATGTTTAAGTCACTACTTTGTCTAAAGACTTTAAACAACTTGCTACAAACAAGAAATAGGGGTGCAATTTGGTGCAAATTTGCGTCCACCTTGGCAGAGGGTACTGCTATTGTACAGATATCTGGATGAATAAGTGCAAACTTACCGTAATGAATATTGGTCTGAATGGTATCTCTTCAAATCCTTTTTGGAAACAAAACTAGTTTCGATCGACGAGGTGTTAGATTTAACAAACTAGTTCGTAAACCACCAACTGTATACACTAAGAGATCGCGCAATGCCAGGGCACAGCTGTAAATTGTAGACGTTCAGAAATGGCAGCAAGAGAACCATAATAGTCATACGTGAAATTTCCCTTTAGATTGAGGTGTTACTAATTACGGCATCATATGTCATTGCGGTCCAACGTGGGCGGACAAAAACAAATTTGGGAATTATTTTTTTGTTTATTTTTCGTTTATTTTCTTAATAGAAAGAGCAACCTTTGATCAGCCTGTCAAGTAAGACTCTTATCCTACCTAATGGCAATGCATATAGAATTAATGTTATCTGTGATTTTATCGTGCAAATATTTATTTGGCATGATAAGTACAAATCCGCACCGGGGAGTAGAGAGTGCATGGGGTATGGGAGAGAGAGAGGTAGAAAATGTAAGGCAAAATGTTGAAGTTTTTCGGTGACCAAAAAGGTTCTGTCTATGGATTAATTAATTGTTGTGTTTTTTAAATGAGTTGAGGAGCGCAAAAGGAAAACAAAATACATGAAATGATAATGTAGAAACTGCGCATACAGACCTTTCAGCCTGTCATGTGTGTGTGTGTGTGTGTGTTCTCTCTCTCTCTCTCTCTCTCTCTCTCTATATATATATATATATATATTATATATATATATATGTTTCTCTCCAATGATGGTGATGCATGATGATGATGATGATGGTGGTGGTGCATGCCCTTATGGAACAATCGCAGTGTTGCCACACTAAATACTCTTTTCACACTGGTTTTGCTTAACCCCGTACTTTGCTTAGCCCCGTACTATCCTTAACCCCGGACTATTTTTTTTGGCTTTTCACACTCGCTGTTTTTAGTCCCGTACTAGCGCCTATTCCGGAATAAGAAAATTCCCGCTGTTCTCACTGCATTTCGTTAACCCCGGATATCGTGAATGTTATGATTGGACATACTTCGCATCTGGCCAGCTGCGATACGCTCCATTGCGTAGCAGTCAGTCCGCAGAGCGTATGCAAATTAGGCTTAATGCGGTTCGAGGCGCAGAATCCCGTTCCGCACGTACGTGCTCTCGTGGATTCTCGTTTTGCGAGATTTTGGCTGACGCGGGAGTATAGCTGTATACAAATTACGTGTACAACTCGTACTCGCTCAAGATGTCGTCATGGTGTGGTAAGTTTGATTCTCCCTTTTCCCCTCTTTAATTTGATATAAAATTTGCCACTGTTCTACTATTTTTTGACTATGTAATTAATCGATAGATTTAGCTCATATTTTGATCGTTTTTGTCCCCGATTTTGAACATATAAGTCTATATTGCTGGATCCTGACCGGTATACCGAACGAAATACTCTGATTTTTTGTGATTTCGGTAAAGCGATAATGGATGGTCATGTGTTTTCAAGATCGAAGAGATGCAAGATATTAAAAGGCCCTTAGTTTTGGTCACAAGTTAGACAAAAATGAGCCCTAAACCGGAAGTTGAGAACTACGAACACAACATTTTAGGATCTAATGGCGCGTAAACTGCAGTGTCCTTGGGTCAACTTGAGTGAAAAACCGTCGTGCGAAAGAACTAGTGTAGTCCCGTATGCATGCAATGATGTTGGGGTAGAAGTAGTAATTATGAATAATAGATCGCGCGAATTGAGAGAAAGCAAGCTTACGTCAGGGTAACAACTAACGGATCTTTTAAAGTCTTTTATATCTTTGGATAGAAATATAAATTGAGTAGAAAACAAGAAGGTATGAATGAATTCGAATGGCTAAGTTAATGTAAAAAATTGACTGAGGTCTGAGCAACCTTAATTTTAAAGTTAAATCCCATTTGTTTAATTTCGCGTTTTGAAGACAGATATTCATTCATTCTTTCATTTTTGCATTTTCTTTCTTAGACTATGTAAATGTACACGATTCTTTGTCATGGTGTAATGTGTTCCCTAATATTTTGAAGCGCCTTGAGCATTTAATTAAAATGGATAATGGCGCTAGACCCTATATAAATCTCATGTATTATTAAAGACAGATCTAGATCTAGACTAGATCTTCTAGATCTAGACTAGTCTAGTCTATATAATTACAATTTGAAAACTATGAATTGTATAGACCAGGCTAAGTAGACCTAGGCCTATACTAAAGTAGCATCAGGCCTTTGATTAGGAAATAATTTGTTAACACTGTATGCTTTTAACAAAGCAAGTAACTATGAGCTATGCCATACTATGCTGATCATTTTTATTTTTTGTTTTTGTAACATTGCAGGTTTTCCAAGCCATTGAGGCAGGTGACAATTTTAGGCGATTCGATTATAAGGAACATTTCAGAAGGCTTCTCTTCAGATTTTGATGTGAACGTTCACTGTCTGCCGGGTACAACATATCAACGTTTAAGAACTTATATTAATAGCAACACTGACAGTTTTTTCAAGGATACACCAATAGTTTTAGTCCACGTTGGGACAAATAACCTTCAAGGAGGAGTGTGGGAGAAAGACAGGTGGCAATTTTTGAACTTAATTTTTACATTAAAAGAGAAGTTTCGCTGTGCAGACATTTTCGTTTCTTTGATTCTACCTCGCTGGGACTGTGATTTGCTGTATGAACAAAGTAAATATTATAATACAAAAATAATAGAATTATCCATAATACATAATTTCAAAATATTTGATAGTGTGAAAGACTTTAATAGAACAGATGCTTATTATACATTAGATGGACTACATCTGAACATCGTTGGGAAAGCTTTCTTAGCGCAAAATGTTGAAATTTATTTAAATGATGTATATACGCCGAAACTTTCTTTGTTGTCACCATGGATCCCCCTTGAGCTAAAAATACTTCACACTCCAAAAAAGAAAAAGCAGCAGCCATTGCCATGGACTGAAACCAACTTGGATCTCGTGGCATACAAGAAGAGGGAGAAATATGGGACACACAGATATAAGGGCAGAAGGAAACACAGAATTCCACGGAAGCGGAATCAGAAGTATACAGCACCTGTTGGCTTTCAACTCCCCGTAAACCCGTATCGGCCCCCTCCACCACCACAGCTTCCACCCAACAGATATGTACCCAGCAAACTACCAGCAACAATACCATATATCAACGTTACAACATCTATCCGACATGCCCCTATCACACCGTCTACCCCCATCCCGGCACCACCAAGCCCATATTTGCAAAGAAAAAAGTGCGGACAGCGAAAGAGGAGGAGGCAGCAAAGGGAAAAGGCAAAACGTAGGAAGAAAAAAAAAAAGGCAAGTGTTCACTCACTAGAATTGATGGAGAAAAAAAAAATTACTACTTGTAAGATACCTTGAGAAAGTAAGACTGCATGTACATGTCACCTTCTACTGTACATGTATGTGCATGTAAATTTGGTTATTCAGACATTTCAGTAATCAGTACTCAGAGATTTAATTAGTGTTAACAAATAGGCTAACAACTATGACTATTTACCTAAATTTAAAGGATTTAATATGTTATGGCATTAAGGAGGAGAAGAGAAACAATTGAATAATTGATAATATTTCATGAATAATTGAATATGTTTGTAGTGGATATTTTTGAATGTCATTTACTAAAGAAAACTTCATTAATTAATGTTTTAAAAAACTTGGTCAAAGTTTTGAATATTTATTTTTACTAGGTCTCTTGCATCTCATAATTTCCAATACAGAGATCACCGGAACTACCCATAGGGCTTAGGCTGCATAATCAGCAATGGACATCGCTTCACGCAGGTCCGTCATTTCTTCCCTGTGATGATGATCCTCCAGAGATGCCACATCCAGAGCCTTCTTCTTCTAGATCTCCAGCAAAGATTGGTAATTCTACATTGTAATTCTTAACATTCATCAAGGTGACAGGTCCATTAAAAAAAACACATTTGTAATATAACCGGTTACTACAAGTGCACATTTTGTTTCAGATTGTAATTTAAAATAAAATTGATTCTAATTCAATGCAATATAAATTTTTGTAAATCTCCAGATCCATCACAGCATCTCCAGAAGCCCCCTCCTGAGCCTCCTGATACTCAGCATCTCCAGGAGCCCCCTCCTGAGCCTCCTGATACTCAGCATCTCCAGGAGCCCCCTCCTGAGCCTCCTGATACTCAGCATCTCCAGGAGCCCCCTCCTGAGCCTCCTGATACTCAGCATCTCCAAGAGCCCCCTCCTGAGCCTCCTGATACTCAGCATCTCCAGGAGCCCCCTCCTGAGCCTCCTGATACTCAGCATCTCCAAGAGCCCCCTCCTGAGCCTCCTGATACTCAGCATCTCCAGGAGCCCCCTCCTGAGCCTCCTGATACTCAGCATCTCCAAGAGCCCCCTCCTGAGCCTCCTCATACTCAGCATCTCCAGGAGCCCCCTCCTGAGCCTCCTGATCTGTTGCCTCCACAGCTTTTTCAACCCAACCCTGAGCCAACAGATATGCTGACTTCACAACATGGACAAGGTATAATTTGTTTCCCCCAGGATCCACCGCTTAAACCCCCTGACCCTTCAGACCTATTTCATTTATCTGAAGAGTATGTCATTAGCACACAGGTAGTTCAAGAGCAGGGGTGAAACCATGCGGAAAAGTTGTATGTGGGCCCTGTGTCATTTGCGGACAAGCTATGACAAATGTAAGATTCACACATTTATCTGCAATAAACGCTGAACCACTTAAAGAAATTATAAGAAGTAAATCTCCACTTATTAAAGAAACAGACTGCATTTGTAATGCTTGCAGGCTTAAGTTTTCAAAGAAAATAAAGGATTCAAGTTACACTCCTGAAAAAAAGAAAATTCGTTTTACATCTCCTTGTTTCCTGTCAAATTACTTGCTATGTTCAGATAGTGGAACAGTTAAAACCTCAATAAATCTTCATGAGTTTAATGAAACATTTTCTCTTGAATGTAATTCTATCCCAGAAGTTATTTCTGTATGTAGAAAGCACAGGGCACAGGTGTCCAATCACAAACAAAATTGTTATTGCTCTCTATGTAAATCATTTATCAGGGGAAATGAAAAGAAGTACTCATCCCAGAAACTTTCACAATATGCTATAGGTAGACTGCAGCAAATATCCCCTGACTTTATCATAGATGATACCATTCGTTATATATGTTCTAATTGTTATCGTTATTCAATGAGAAAAAAAGAAACCAAGTTAACATTAGACGATTTAGATACAAAACTAGTGAAAGAAGTTGAAAAGCTAACAGAGGTTGTAGATTTAAAGACAGCTGGTATCAATGCTTTGACATTAACACTTAAACAGCTTACAGAATTATGTAGGTCAGAATGTGGATTTTTGATCACTGATGCATATGACATTTATTTGAGTACATTGCAAAAGGTTTGCAATAATGAATTGCAATTTCAACAAGCAAAGCGATCTAAAACATGGCTGAAATGTAAAGTAATGGATTTCTTTGCAGATGTTGTTTCAATCAGCAAATCCTCATCCAAAAAGGGGGATTTAATTTATGTTTCAAATCTTACAAAAGATGAAATCATCAAAGCATGGAATGAGTCAAAATGTATGAACAGAAGTATGAAAAACAGTTATGAAGGTTATGAAAGTTTACCATCAACAGATGATAATGTTGAAACCCACAATGTCAAATGGGATGAATTTATCTTCAATATAAATCATTTACTCAGAACTCAAGGAAAAGCAACGAGTGAATTCTTTTCCCGAGATCCATCCTCTGTGCTGAATTTTGATTTTGAAAATATGAAATCACATTTGTACCCAATTGTGTGGAATATAATATGTGCTTTAACTGCAAACAGGGAAGAACTAAGTTGTTTAAGAAGTTCAGTTGCATCTTTTCACAAAGATTTCCTTTGTTTTTCAGACAACTCTTCCCATGGAAATCTTAAGCGCAATAAGCGCATGGTTATAGTCTTTTTACTCCAATTTCTTTTGAATGATAGTAACTCATATCCTTTTCATGTTATTACAGCAAATTGTATAAAAGGCCTTTCTCACTCATCTAGGTTAATCAATATCATGAATAAACTTGGTTTTTGTTGTTCTGAATCCACCTTGGAACGATTTTTGCAGGGATTGAAGGATGTACGGCAAATCTCTGGTCCACTTGCTGACCTTTCTCCTTCTTCATTCACAATTGTTTCAATAGATAACATTGATGTTTTGGCCCCATATGCAGCTGTTGCTGCAGATAAATCAAGGAGTTGGCATGGCACTTCAATCATGGCACAACAGCCGAAACCTAAACATGAAGAAGCTCTTGATAATATTCCATCTACCACCCGTACTGATCTTCCTTCAAAACTTCCTAGTATTCCTTCAGAAAATGTTGTTCTAGAAAAAAGACCTAGTATTCGGAAAAGGTTGCCTGTTTTCAGCGTAGAATCCCAAGAAATACCATCTAAATCATATTTCGAACCTCCGAAATATAAGACTTTTATGAGAAATCAAGTAAAGGAAGAACAATTTTTAATATCTGAGAAAGAGCAAGAATCTGTTGTAGACCTCAATACCAGTTTATTTAGTTATGTTTGTGAAAGATTTGTTTTCCTTGATGATCCGAGCAATGTCAGTCTGCCAGGCATGAAGCTCAAACTCGCCATGGAAAAAGACAATACTAATGTTATTAAGTCCAAATGTTCATACCTGTATGTACTAGATGAAAAGGCAGACTGTCCAGGAACACTTAAACGTACATTGGGCATACTATATGATACCTTTAAAGTAAAAGATGAAACCAATCACCTCATCATTGCTGGTGATGGGGCCACCATCAAGCTTCTATTGAACATAAAAAAAGAATATGGGCCATCTTTAGATTGGGTCATACCCTATTTAGGCGATTGGCACGTTCTAAAAAACTTCCAAGAAGTTCTAATGAAAATATATTGGGATTCTGGTCTAAAAGAAATAGCAAAGTTAAGTCACAAACACATTACATTGAAAAGCTTATCAGCATGTTCAAATTTTAAGAGGACGCATAGATTTTTTATACAAGTGTTTGAAGCTATTTACATGTTGCAATACCAAAGTTTTTTGGAGTACAGGAAAGGGCAGGAAAATGTATTTGATAATGAGGATTTCTTGCTACAAGTCAAAAATCTCGTTTCCTGCTTGCAGTTTGAAAATGGGGAAATTTCAGGAATGAGTGAGTACAGAGAAGCTGTCAATCAATTCAAATGTTCAGATATTATGTCTAGCATGAAGCAGGAATTTGATGAATATTGTGACATGATGTCCCTGAAACATACCACATTCAAATTTTGGAACCAGTTCTTAAGAAAAGATTGCCATTGTTATATTTCTTTGTGGATAGCTATTCGAAGTGCTAATTGGGATCTGAGATTAGCATCACTAAAAGAAATGGTTCCGTTATTCCATGCTTTTGATAGGTTAAATTATGCACAACTCATTCCGTTACATTTAAATATGTTAAATGGCTTGCCGGATTACATTATTCAAGATTTTAAGGATGGTGGTTTTGTAAATAGTCTTAGTGGAACTCCCTTTTCCTGTGTTGCCTTTGATGAGGCGCATGAAATGACAATTAATAAAGATTGTAAAATGTCACTTGCTAAATCTTTGCCCCAGTCACACAGTATGGATAGTATAGCCGCGACAATCCAGTATAGAGCGCAGCTTATCAATAATTTAGCAACTCAGCTTGGCAGTCAAAGACGAAGTATGCTTTACCGTGATATGCAGGCATCAGTAGTAAAAGCAGAATTTGCAAATGTTAAATTGTATTTTGATAAAGTAAGCAGTACAAATATGTTTACTCCGAATGATCAACCAAATAACTTAATACATGTTTTTTCTGGTACAATAGCAAATCCTCAACAGGAAAAAAGTCTTTGTAATTTTAGAGATATTGGACAGGAATCTTATGAGGCATACTACAAAGTTCAAATCCTACATGAAACCTCAGTAAGCAAACCAGTACGTCGGAAAATTAATTTAAAAACTTTTGCCAAAGATAAAGTACGTCAGCGACGCGTAAGTGATCTTGAGAAGGAAAAGAAATTAATTACTTTATGTTACAAAAGAACTATAGCGATGTCGGAAGAGCATCAACAGCCAATATCTAGTCTATTACAATTTGTTCCTGTGCCCAGAGCTATTTGCTCCCCCGATGGGCTCCCACGAAAGGGTTCCAAGGCAATTGTATATGATTTATTTCAAAAAAGATACACTAGTCAATTTCAAATTATAACCGACACATTTTCTCCACCTTTTTCAGATACGTGTGTAATTATTGAGGGTATGAATATCATTTACATGTCCCCATTAAGACAACAACTTTTTATTGATTATGCCAATTTAATTGCGTCTAGATGGATAACTCCTTACTTTAAAAAAGGGTACAAAGAAGTTCGAATTTTATTCGACCAAGCCGGAACACAAGGGGTATCTCCCAAGGGGATTGAAAGAAAACGTAGGGATCAAACTGATCTAGACAATGAAACATTTGAAAATATTGACGACAACACTCCTGTTCCCAAAGATTGGGGTAGTTTCTTAAAAAATAGAACAAACAAGTATGCTTTGATAAGATTTTTGTCTCGTAAATTTGTATCTATTGCCCAATCTCAATTACAAAATAATACCCAGTTTTTCATTACATCCGGTGGTTTTAATGTAGGTTTAGATACGAATGCAGAATATAGTGGGGCTGTTGTGACGATGCAAGGTAAAGACAGACATAATATTCAACACAATCATGAGGAAACAGACACACAAATATGGTTACATGTCTTTGATACTTCATGTTCAAATATTTTAGTATATTCTCTTGATCGAGATATAAGTATGATTGGGCTTCCCCTTGATTTTGGAACTAAAGAGGTAACTGTGCAATATTGTGCCAAAGTAGGTAACAACAAATATTTGCAGCTCAACAAGTTACAATCTGCCCTTAAAAAAGATTCCGACCTTGCTCAATTAATAACAAAAGGAATTGATATAACTAAATGTATGCAAGTGCTATATATTTGTAGTGGTTGCGATTTTGTATCTTTCTTTTCTCACTTTGGAAAGACTATATTTTTCAAAGTTTTTTTTCAGTATGCAAATTTTATAACTGGAGATCTCAGTAACTCTTCACCTGGTCATTTAAATGATACTTCTGTTCCTTCAGATTATGAACTGGGTTCGCTGTCATTTTATCGTCTTATTCTATGTTTGTATTTTAATGCCAATCGGGCTTGTCTAAATAAGTTTAGTAATCCAATTGAACTATTTGACAGTGTCAGTGGTAATTCTGCTTTAGATCATCACCATGAAGCTCTTGACCTTGTTAGGAAAGCATCATGGAAAGGAGTGTATGAAGATGAGTTGATGCCATCAAACAGTGCTCTGCATTTCCACTGGCTGAGATCTTGTTGGGTCAGTACCGTTTGGGGTCAAGCTCAAACACAGCAGTTTATGTATCCTGATATCTCATTGTATGGGTACAATGTGTCACAACACTTAGGAGAAATCCAAGTGGATATCATCTGGGATACTGAAGAAAATATTGACAAAGTTAAAAACAACATCATGTATTTAACCCGTGGATGTTCATGTAAAAAAAACAAATGCATCACTCGGCAGTGCAAGTGCAGAAAAGCTAACAACGTTTGTGGGCCTGGTTGTAGGTGCAAAAGTTGTGAGAATATACCAAATACAGATACTTTAGACACTTCCTCAATTGTCTCAGATTCAAACAGTGAATGCAGTGAATTGAGTGAAAATGACGATACCGATTTAACATTAGATTACACTGACAGTGAGGATTTTTCAGATGAAGGAAATGATGTATACTTGTCAGATATAGAGGACCTTGACATTGAGGAATTTGATTGAAAACTGCCCTTTTCTGCCCTATTCAAAGGTATGAATATACAGTATTCAGGTACTTCCATGTTTTTGCCAAAGATTTACAATGGTGCCAGAAGATTTGTAGAAAAGATTTTATATTATGTTGTACATATTAGTAAACAGTTTGTAACTTTGCCAAAGAAAACTTTTATATGTGTATGTAAACATTGACATGTATGTAAGTGGCAGACATGTACCTTGATATTACACTGATGATGTACATGTGTAATAACTTTCAGGGCCAGCATTCCAGTTTTCTCTTTCATGTACAGCTACCTCACATATTATATATGTAAAGATATTATTGTTAAGCTGCACTACCATATGCACTTTCCAAAGACTGGATTGTATGATGATCTCTAAATGATTTTGTATGTTATTCACCTTGTTACTTACATCTTGTGTTCTTGCCAAATAGATTTCCCCAAGTGGGCTTTCTTCTTTGCAAAGTATGTGCAACTGATGTAACCAGTGTTCACTAGATTTTTTACGTGTTGTACTGATATATGTAATTTTTCTCAGCAAGTATTTATTCACTCCAAAGAACATGGAGCTTATGTGACAGTTTCGTAACATGAATATTTATTTTTTATTATGACTTAACATATGTTTCTGCAAACTGGGTATTATAGATAATATTTTTGAGCACTGAGATTGTCTTCACATACCCAAAGCTTATTTAGAATACATGTATGCATTTATTTCATCTATCTGTTTTTTTAAAAAGTCATTATTTGATATACATGTACCTGTACTATACAACTGTAAGAAAATAAGAAGCTAAAGATATTCATTATATCATCAAGGAAAGAATTGTTAACATTATGCACTACCTGATGAGCCATTATCTTTCAAGAGTCATATTTTCCTGTTTAAAAATATGTTACACCAGTGCAAACTCCATGCTGCAAGTGTGCCATCTGTTTGTATCAAAAACTTGCCATATCTAAATGTATTTTTTAAGTCTATGTATTTTTTGGCACATGGAATTGGATGTTTGATGTTCAAAACTAATGGGTACGTAGGTGTTGCTGAAGTATTCTTGAAACATTCCTGGTACTTTATTTGTATTGTAAAAATCATATTATCATTGTTTCTTGCCAAAGAGCTGTATTTTAGTGTGTGAAAAATAGTAGCAGTACGTACTCATGCAGATGTGCCATCTTTCTGTTTTCATTGTGATCTGTTATGTACAGTGGATATTTCCACCAATAAAACCTTGTTTTGGATTTGCAATTCTGTATGCAATTGTTTTATTTTTTATGCATTTCTTTTTCTTCGAGACCAATTGTACTATAAAGACGAAAAATGAAATACACCACAAATTATTTATCCACAAACCATACAAAGATACAACCCAAAAAAGCTTTTACCAGCCCTTCGGCCTACCTCCCCTTCTTGTCACCCCCCCCCCCCCCCCCCGAGTGTCACTCAGGTTTCATCGTTCAAGGTGGTGTGTGAAGTAAGAGAGTATGAGATGTGTCAGAATTGTCGTGAATTTTTTTGTTTGCACTGATATAGATTTTATCGAGCTTTGACCATTGTAATGTTCATAAAACTTTGAGGGCTCCCAACGCTTAAGAGGGGCTTTCATACCACACAATTGCCACGATAAATGTCCAAGGCACAATTGAAAATCAGCTACATCAGTTTTTAAAAGCAAGCTTGAGCGTAACCTGGCCTGCCTGTGGAAAGGTGGTTACTTTTTTTTAATAGCCAACCATACTGGTCACTACATGGACAAGGGTATATGGGACTGAACAAAACGATTATTGGTATCGACTTCATGTAACGTTCTTGCTTCAATTAGCATGTTTAATAATCACAAACTGATCATAAAAACAATTCAACTGTTAAATGAAAGAATAATCACTTTTAGTCCAGAATTAATCACCTTAAAAATGTTATATGCGTTACAAAAATACGTTTCCAGGGCGCAAGAAACAAGTCCGGAAGAAACTCCGTCAGCGCTCAGCAGACTATATGACGTAGTGCGATGACATCATCTTTGACCAATCACAACCCTGTCTTTCACGGCGGTCGCAATGGAGTAATTTTTGACACTGTGCGATGTACATGGGGTGATACTTTGCTGGATCCTGACCGGTATACCAAACTAGAATATAAAATATGGTTATATTTTGGAAGTAAACACATCAAGTAATGTTTTGAACATACTAAAAAATCGATGCAAGATGGTTTTCACTCGATTTAGACCACTTATTTCCGCCATTTTTTTTTTTTTTTGGGCACGACAAACTTTTCGTATTTATTACCCAAATCGCTTCAAAATATCATCAAAATGATATGAAAAAGTGGAACTCCTATTTATTCCCTTTCATTTGGTACCAAAATGAGGCAAAACCGTTATAAGGACGCTACATGACGATGACTTCAAATGAGTGATGCACATGCTCATTACGTATTCATAACCATTTTGAATGTGCATACGGTCTGCGCCTTCTGAGCGATATTCGCACGCACTGCGGACTGACTGGTAGTACCGGACTATTTTTCGTTTCTGTTCTCATTCATTTGCTTAGCTATGGTGGCCCTGAAGGGACATCGCGAATAGACTAAATCGTGAAAAATATGCGATAAAATTCACGATATCGTCAATTTTATCGCATATTTTTCACGAAGAAATTCACGAAATTGACGATATCGTGAACTTTATCGTGAACTTTTCACGATGAAATTGACGATATCGTGAATTTTATCGTGAAAAGTTCACGATATAAAGTTCACGATATCGTCAATTTTATCGTGTACTCTATCGTGTACTCTATCGTGTACTCTCCTGACGGGCGCTTCGTAAACAAAACCAGCCCTAGCTGGGGGAGACAGAGAGAAGGAAAAAAGGGAAAGGGAAAGAGAAGATAAAAGGAAAGAAAGAATAATAAGAAGAAAAGAGGGAAACGGGGGGGGCGAAGGGCTCTTGCCTCCTCCTCACTCCCCCCCCCCCCCCCTCCCCGCCAAAAAATAAATCAGAGAGAGAGAGAGAAGGGAAAGGGAAAGGGAAAGGGAAAGAGAAGATAAAAGGAAAGAAAGAAGAGGAAGAAGAAGAAAAGAGGAAAACGGGGGAAGGGCGAAGGACTCTTGCCCCCCCCCCCCCCCCCCCCAAAAAATAAATCAGAGAGAGAGAGAAGGGAAAGGGAAAGAGAAAGAGAAGATAAAAGGAAAGAAAGAAGAGGAAGAAGAAGAAAAGAGGGAAACGGGGGCAAAGGGCTTTTGCCTCGTCCCCCCCCCGCCCCCCGCCAAAAAATAAATAAGAGAGAGAGAGAGAAGGAAAGGGAAAGAGAAGAAAGAAAGAGAAAAACGAAAAAGAGGCAGAATAGGAAAGAAAGGAAAAGAAAGAAAAGAAAGGAGGCAAGAGCCCTTCGCCCCTGTTTCCCTCTTTTCTTATTCTTTTTCCTCTTCTTTCTTTCCTTTTATATTTTCTTTCCCTCTCCCTTCTCTTTCCCTTTATGGCGGAAGGGGGGAGGGGGAGGTAAGAGCCTTTCGCCCTTCCCCCGTTTCCCTCTTTCCGTCTTCTTCTTCTTTCTTTCCTTTTATATTTTCTTTCCCTTTCCCTTTCCCTTCTCTTCTATCTCTCTCTCTCTCTCTCTCCTATTTATTTGTTGGCGCGGGAGGGGGGGGAGGAGGCAAGAGCCCCTCTTTTCTTGTTATTCTTCTTCCTTTCCTTTTTTATTCTCTTTCCCTTTCCCTTCTCTCTCTCTCTCTCTCTCTCTCTTATTTATTTTTTGGCGGGGGGATGCAAGAGCCCTTCGCCCCCGTTTCCCTCTTTTCTTCTTCTTCTTCTTCCTCTTCTTTCTTTCCTTTTATCTTCGCTTTCCCTTTCCCTTTCCCTTCTCTCTCTATCTCTTATTTATTTTTTTGGCGGGGGGTGGGGAGGGAGGAGGCAAGAGCCCTTCGCCCTTCCCCCGTTTCCCTCTTTCCTTCTTATTCCTCTTCTTTCTTTCCTTTTATATTTTCTTTCCCTTTCCCTTCTCTCTCTTATTTATTTTTGGCGGGGGGGAGGAGGCAAGAGCCCTTCGCCCTTCCCCTGTTTCCCTCTTATTCCTCTTCTTTCTTTCCCTTTCCCTTCCCTCTCTCTCTCTCTCTCTCTCTTATTTATTTTTTTGGCGGGGGGGGGGGAGAGGTAAGAGCCTTTCGCCCTTCCCCCGTTTCCCTCTTTCCTTCTTCCTCTTCTTTCTTTCCTTTTATATTTTCTTTCCCTTTCCCTTTCCCTTCTCTCTCTCCTTATTTATTTTTTGGCGGGGGGGGGGAGTGAGGAGGAGGAGGCAAGAGCCCTTCGCCCCCCCCCGTTTCCCTCTTTTCTTCTTATTATTCTTTCTTTCCTTTTATCTTCTCTTTCCCTTTCCCTTTTTTCCTTCTCTCTGTCTCCCCCAGCTAGGGCTGGTTTTGTTTACGAAGCGCCCGTCAGGAGAGTACACGATAGAGTACACGATAGAGTACACGATAAAATTGACGATATCGTGAACTTTTCACGATAAAATTCACGATATCGTCAATTTCATCGTGAAAAGTGCACGATAAAGTTCACGATATCGTCAATTTCGTGGATTTCTTCGTGAAAAATATGCGATAAAATTGACGATATCGTGAATTTTATCGCATATTTTTTACGATTTAGTCTATTCGCGATGTCCCTTCAGGGCCACCATACTTAGCACCGCAATTGCGGGGTTAGCAGGAGTTAGCACCACAATTGCGGAGTTAGCCCTGCTATTTGGCAGGGTTAGTTAACCCCGTACTATAGGTGGGGTTAGCCAACTTTAGCCCACTTTGGTAAAAACCAGTCTGAACAGAGAGTGGAATAGGCTTAACCCCGTACTATAGGTGGGGCTAATTAGACCCCCCCCCCCCCCCTTAACCCCACCTATAGTACGGGGTTAAGCAAAATATTGCCAGTGTGAAAACAGTATATGTTCACATAGTCAACTATGTGTTAACTGTGTGGACATTATGTGTTCACATTGTTGTCACAGTGTGGAGTTTCAGACCATGTGGTTTACCACATATTATCCACATAAACTTTTGGGGGAAAAGGCGGCACCTTCAATGGGAAACCTCACAGCAAACATATACCACTTTTAGACATCGGTAAATATACCCCTACCTTGTCATGGTTTCTATTACATTATCAGTGATAATGTCAATATTTGTTTCTCTCTTTACAAGGTCCAAGATATTGCTTGATCATCATAGTCTGCAGTTGGGTATGATGGTCTGAATGCGGTCTCAACACGGTACAACAGGGGCGGCGGAGTGTTTTCCAAAGTGAAGGTCACCAACACAAAAAGGAACTTTCTGTAGAAAAACAAACAAATATGTTCCAATGTCTAAAATTGGCATATGTTCGCTTTGAGGTTTCCCTTTAAGGTGCCCCTTTTTTCCCAAAAAGTGCCCTTAAGATTTGTGACGTCGCAGTGCGAAAATATACATCTTATAAAGAGGATAAAAACCAATTACTGAGGAGTTTTTAGCACAATCTATTAAAGTAACATAATATCAACTATCACTGCGAGCGAGGTTCGTGGAAATTTAAAGAAAAGAGGCTCTAAGTTGCTTTAAATTAGGGGCGCGTGTTATGGAGAAAGGAAAAGGGGGACTTATCAGAAGGGAAATGACACTTACTAGAAAAGAAAAAGGTGCATCTTTCGAAGGAAAATGAGCACTTATCAGATCTTACAAGGGCGTTCATCAAATATGAAAAGGAGCACTTATCAGAAGGGGAAGGGGCAATTATTACGATGGAAAAGGAACACTTTTGGGGTAAGTGAAAAAGTGGGGTGGCACTGTGGACTGTACCCCTCCCCCGCCCCTCCGGGAGCGCTGCCTCTGTGGTACACGCTCGTGTAACTTGTGTGACTTGTATGATATTCTAAGCTGTACTGATGAAAGTTGCACAAACTTGGGGCAGGGACGTTAACACCCTACGATGAGCGGCCGATTACCCTAGGAGGTCCGGCGGACCTCGGCCCATGTCCGACTGTTGTCCGCCCGATGTGTACATATCGGCCGGCGTCTCGCCGAGCACCATGAAGTAATCGACAGGACATCGGAAGATTGTCGGTCATATAGACCGTTCGATGTTTACTCCAAAAGATGACCGCATATCTGCCGGCAAGTTGCCCGCCGGTTATCCTGGGGTTACCCATTGGGAGCCCTACAGGCATCGGGCTGCGCCCATTCATGTCAAATCCTTTGCCCGATTTCTCCCCGACCTCTCT